GCCCCCGTGCCACTGCACACCTACAAGAGTCCATAAACACCTGCAGGCTGTTCCCTTGATACCCTAAGCTTTAGCTTTTCTATTTTTCAGATCCTGCACTGCATCAGTGTGAAGCTCTGAACTCCATACAGAGTGTTGGGAAGCTCTCTTCAGTTTGGTCAGACAGAACAATCCTTCCAGGCCTGAGAGCCAAGGACACCATCACAGCCCCAAAAAGCATAAACAGAAGTGAACTAGGGGGGAAACAAACTGGGGGAATGTGACTTCATTACCTGAAGCTGTAATTGGGGAATGAACCTCTGATATGCAAATGGAGCAAACTTGTATCTGCCCAAAGAGCTCATGTCCATCTTGGGTGTAGCCTCTGCCAGGCTCCTGCACTGTCCAGGGTGTGCCTGTTAAACACTTTTTTATTTTAACTCTGGCTGGCCTCTGCTCTAGGTTGTTGCTATAGGACACGAAATAACACAATGCGCACGCAGCTCTTCCAAGGTAAAAAGAGAATTTTTAATTTCTGACTCCAGCATTTATAGATTTCCAAAAGTGACAGTGGATTGGAGGGTGACAGTGCCACCTCTCCAATGACACTGGACAAACCAACAGTCCATCAAATTTTCCTCCTCCATAAAAGAATGCAAAACAATGAGTTATTTACAGAAAGTGTGTGAGGAAGTTCGTTACAAGAATGTAAACATCAGAAGGCTTAGAAAATCTTAAAAAATCAGGGTGACACTAGGCAGCCATGCCAGGCATCACCCTGCTCACTGCAACTCAATCCCAGCTCACCTCAAAGGAGAAGAGCTGTCCCTCTGTCCTTCATGGCTCACCTGAGCTACTCAGCAGCAGCAGGAAGACATTCCTCCTCTCAGCCTGCCTCCAAATCTCCACCTTGCAAATGTGCACAGGAGATGAAAAGACTCCAGTGAGGCCTTTCATCTTCATGGATCAGCACTTCCCAGAGGGTCTGCCACTCAAACGTGCCCTCCCCAATACCTGTTTGTCCTGGCCTCTGGCATCCTTCCCCAGACATTTCAATTGATGTCACTGATCTTGGCTCAGCAAATAATCCTTCTAATCACTGACAAGTACAGAGGCTGCAGCCCAGCATTGCTTGGCCATGCTCAGGGGGGTGCACAGCAAGAAAGCAGCACTCCAGAAAGTGAGCTTGAAACTATGGCTGACCACACACAGGCAGCAGCTGCCATGGACCAGGAGGGGACACTTTTTACAATAAAGGCTGCAGTTTTGGTCTCTCATGACAGGGAGAAGGTTGCCACTGTACTTTTGAACACCCTGCAGCCTGGCATGGCACAGGATCTGGGAATGGACCTCAGGGAGCTGGGGGTGTGTCACAGACATCTTTTATGAAAAATCCTTTCCTTAAGGTTTTTCCTCCTGAGAAACTGAGAGGCCTCAGGAACAAAATGTAAACCTTGATTATCTGCTGCTGTGGAATGCAACAGGTGCATCTTGGATTAGCCCATGTTAGATGTTTGTAATTAATGGCCAATCACAGCCCAGCTGGCTCGGACAGAGAGCCGAGCCACAAACCTTTGTTATCATTCTTTGCTATTCTATTCTTAGCCAGCCTTCTGATGAAATCCTTTCTTCTATTCTTTTAGTATAGTTTTAATGTAATATATATAATAAGATAATAAATCAGCCTTCTGAAACGTGGAGTCAGATCCTCATCTCTCCCCTCATCCTCAGACCCCTGTGAACACGGTCACAGGGGTGCATCAGCTTTGGGTGTCAGAACACGCATGGCATCTACAGACAGGGCAAAGTGTTCTGTGTGTCAGAGTGTCTGGGAACACCCAGCAGAAGGACATCACTGTGCTGCCTCCTCAGAGAGCCCTGTGTCCTCCAGGACAGGGATGTCACCACATCTTCACTTTGGGAACATGGCTCCCAAGGGAGTGAGGGCAAGGAGCGCTTGTGGATGGAGCTGGGTTGCCCCACAGCCCCACAGCCAGCTGGACTCCTGTGGCCAGCAGCTTTTGGAAGCATGCAATGCCTGGTCAGTGACAGCACTTGTTCCCCACCAGCAGGCAGCCAGCAGGCGCCAGGAGTCTCAGGGAAAGGCCTGGGAGAGCCAGGGGCTCTCCTCAGCCTGCCCAGCCTCAGCACCAGGGCCATTGTTCCCAAAGGATGTCTGAGGATTAATTAATTATCCTACAAGGGGTAGTAAGTAATAACACTCCTTGTGGAACAATAGAAGCTATTTGGTCGCCATGACAACCCAGCTTCACTTGTGTGCCTTTAATTTATTCATTGCACAGTTCCTTTCCCAAGCACAAATGATGCCAAAAAAATGCCTTGTTTTTCTTGCCAGTATCCATGTCCAGAGCAGGGGTAAAACACAGCCCTTTCCCCGGGGCATCTGTCTCACAGAAGAATGATGCACATAAAATCCCTTCAGCCTGGAAACTTACATGACATGAGAACTCTTCTGCTCCCTAAATGTTTGTTCTATAAGATGATTCTGATTCTTAACCCCTTTTTGAAGCTGCCTCACCACGGTGCTCAGAGATCTTGATCCTGAATAAGTTCTCACCTACAGCCACCTCATCTCCCATCCCCAAACCTTTCCACACCCTCTCCCCCTGCCCAATCTATGTAGGAAAGATGGGCAGGACATTTTTCTTATCAAACAGAGAGCCAGGAGGGATAATCAAAAGTCTAGAAGTGACATTCCTTCACATCTACAGGAGCATGGCATGGACAGTGGTGCCAGCCTGACCACAGTCATGCCACCACCATCAAAGCACTCAGTGTCCATCACTGTGCTGCTCAAACTCTGCAGGATCCACAGCAGCACGTGGGGGAAGCTCTGTGCCAGGAAACCTGTGCATCACAGAGACATTATTACTGTTATTGTTATAACTGTTTCTCCCCCAGTGTGTGCCCGAGGGGAGCAGGGGCTCACAGCACAGGGGAGAGCACCACATTTACATGGCAAGGGTTGGAGAGTGCTGCTGGGACAGTGGGTGCTGTGTGCCTGGCCACAGCTGCTCCCAGCTGCTGGACAAAGCTCTTGATCAGCCCCTGTAGCCCATGGACCCCTCTCCAGCAGGAGGCTCATCCTGCACCAGCCTCTGCAGGGCTCAGCTGCCTTCCCAGAATGGTCTGGGTTGCAAAGGACCTTAAAGATCACCTTGTTCCAGCCCTCTGCCATGGGCTTCCACTGTCCCAGGCTGCTCAGAGCCCCATCCAGCCTGGCCTTGGGCACTGCCAGGGATCCAGGGGCAGCCACAGCTGCTCTGGGCACCCGTGCCAGGGCCTGCCCACCCTCACAGGGGAGAATCTTTTCCTAAGATCCAATGTGAACCTACTCTCTTGGTCTGAATCCACTCCCCCTTGTCCTGTCACTCCAGCCCTTATAAGAAGTTTCTCTCCACCTTTCTTCTGGGCTCCCTTCAGGTACTGGAAGGCCACTCCTAAGCTGGTTTTTTTCCAGGTGAGCAATCCCAGCTGTGCCAGCCTTTCCAGGTGAGCAATCCCAGCCTTTCCTGCCAGCAGAGCTGCTCCATCCCTCTGATCCCTGGTGCCTGCTCTGGACTGGTTCCAGCAGGTCCCTGTCCTTCTGTGCTGGGACAGAGCTGCTCAGGCTCACAGGGGCAGTGGCTACAGCTGAGAACAAACCCCTCACCCCCTCCCAGTTATGTTTGTGCAAGTCTTGGTCTCAAGGCACAAGTGCAGAGCCCAAACTGTCCATCCTGGCTCTGGCAGGAGGGGGACATTTGCTCCAGCACCCCAGAACACCCAGGTCCAAGCTGAGCCTGGGGGAGGAGATGGCTCAAAGTTGAGCTGTGGCCTGACAGGCAAGGTAGATGGATCTAGGTTAAACCATCTGGCCCTGCTAAGCTGAGCCTAAACTCAAGCACAGCTACCCAGTGCCTCTGGACCCAAATCTAGGGCCACACCCACTGCCCAGTGTCACTGTCACTGGAGTGAGGTGCCTCAGGTCCTGCAGAGAATTCAGGTGAGGGTGGCAGAGTCAGCAAAAGGAACTTTCACTCAGGAACATAAAGGCTCATGGCCAGCTCTTCCCCCTGGGTCATTCCAACACAAATTCAGGCTTTTCAGGCAGCTTGGGAACAAAACCAACTGGTCAGGTTGTGTCACCCCCCACTCCTCAGAAGAGCTGGTGGGCCAGGGAAACAGGGCAGGAGAGGCCAGAGACAGAGAAATGGGGCAGGAGCAGGGGCAGAGCAGGATTTTAATTGACCTGAACTGCAAGAGCTCTAAAGCAGCCCAGGACCCTCCTGCATGGGCCAGGAAGGGAGGAACTGGACAGGAGCTGCCAGGAGGCTCACAACAGCCTCCCCCTCCCATGGGGCCCCTGGGGAAGGAGCAGAGTCTGGAGGAAAAGCCTCTGGACAGCAGGGAGAAAGGCAAGTTTAGGCAATTACAACACAATCTATGTCCTCTGCTGGGAGCTGAGGGCTTCTGAGGGACAGTCCTGGATGTGAACCTAAACCATGACCAAAGTAATCATCAAATTGCACAGATTTCACCCCAAACCATTGCTACTTGAGCAGATAATTTCATTTTTTTTGTTGTTCACAGTGGTATGAAAAGCTCCAATCTATCAATGCCACCCAAACCCAGATTTCTATTAGAATCCTTTCTTTCCAGCACAGATCTCCAAGGAAATGTTGAATTACCACCAGCAAATGAAAACTCCCTGTTTTTAACTTGGCAGGGACAGACTGACCATAAGGCCACCTTTGTATCAACCAAAAAATACAATTCACATCTACTTTTTTAAGGCATAACTTGGAGAGATGTCTCTGCCACCAGCAGAGAAGGTGAAAAGTATCTACTCTGGATGAGATGAGATGGCACAAGCTCCAGACGTGCCAGCAGAGATCCAGATGCCTCCAAGAAACCACTGCTTTGGAAGTAAATCTCAGCCAGAACATGAAAGAACATTTTATAGTTGTTTTCCCCCCCTTTCTTTCTCTTTTTATTTTTCTCTTTCTTTCCAAACTTACCATGTTGACTTCAGAGATCTGGTCAATGCTGGAGATGTGGATGCTCATTCCCACTGTGACAGGGTTACCTGGAACACAAATAGGCTGGGTTAGGACTACATTCAAGTCCTCCTCTCTTCTCTGCAATGTAAGAATTGCCTAGGAAAGCATGGATTTGATTTTAAGCAGCCCCACATTCCATGACTATCATGGAGTTGAATGTGCTCAAGTGATTTGATTTCTCTCACTCCCAGACTTACAGACTCACCCCAAGGAGCAGTGCAGCCTAAGCTTGATACTGTTTTTTTAATTCTGGAAGTTAATTACCCCTTGAAACACAATTATCTCTGGTTATTCCAAATAATCCCTTCAGAGACCATCAGCAGGCTCCTAGTGGGCTCGCACAAGGTGGTCCTGATTGACCACACAAAGAACTCAGCACCCAGGGCCATGCAAGCCACGGGCAGGAAACTTGCTCCAGCTCACTCCTCCACCACTCTGCTGGCTCTGAGTACTCAGTCTGAAAGTCCCAAGTGAGTTTTAACACCCTAGGCACCAGACAAGTACAGGAAACAGATCTATGAAGTGAAAAAGCAGCATTTGTAAGGTGGCTTTTCAGAGCAGAGCTCGGATTAGAGAAGAGGGCAGTCCTTACTGTGGGGTTTAAGCCATGTGAAACAATTTAAAATGAGATGCACACCCACTACCAAACCCAGCAAAACCCCTCCTGTAGCTGGAAATGGGGTTTTTGCATGTTACCCCTCCCCTGCTCAGGCCCACAACCCCAAAGGCAGAGCACAAACCCAATGCCACCCCAAGAAAATCCCCTTTCCCACACATGCCAGGTAGAAAATGAACCCTTGCAATGCATCACTAGAAAAGGAAAGGCAAGCAGTTGTGCCACTCAAGGTATTAACTCTTCCATGCACTCATTAGTAGATCTAAGTGCTGAAATATTTACAGATAATCATGAAATGGCTCAGAAAGTAATTAGGAGATTGGGGGAGAGGGGAGAACCACACAACTGGAAATGGAGTGATTTTTTAATTATGTGTTACCAGAAGTAGGGAAGCAGTGTCATTAGGGGTGCCTTGTGATTGGGTGTGCTGTTCACCGAGACCCTCTGCTGCAAATTAAGCAGCATTATCCTTTAATGGAATATGAACAACACTGAAAACATCAGAATCAACCACTGTAATTAGGCCCTGCTATGCAAATCTCCTTAAAGAGGCAGTACAAGCTCCAGCACCCCGGGCTGGCTGACAGGGTGCCCGAGGCAGGGGAGCTCAGGAGACCTCGTGGAGCCTCTGAAGATGCCATCACAGCCACAATCCAGACACAGCTTAGCTGTGCTTGTGCCTTCATCCTTCACAAGGGAGCCATGTGGGAAAATAACCAACAGTCACGCCAGGGAGACACAATCCTCCCGCAGCCTCTTTGTGCCAGAGGCTGACACAGGCACAGCAAAGCTTTTAAGGAAGTCTCACTTTGATAGTTTGTCTTTTTTTTTTTTTTTTTTGCCCTGAAATCAGGGCCTTGTGATAGAAGCCATAGCAGGAGGAGGAAGTCAGAGCTGCCCTGAGGATCTTGCAGGCTAATTAGTTACAGGAGGAGAGTCAGGGCCACGCACGGGGCTGCAGCAGAGCCTGGCAGAAGCCACATTCCCATTCCAGAGCCTTTCTGCCATGCAGTGCTGCTCCCTCCAAGAGTGCCCCACTGCCTGCTGGGCTTCCAGCCCGTCCCCAGCAGTGCTTGTGCCACTGTGGCTGTGCATCCCCTCCATCCCCACCATCCCCACCAGTGCTTGTGCCACTGTGGCTGTGCATCCCCACTATCCCTACCAGTGTTTGTGTCTCTGTGGCTGTGCATGCCCTCCATCCCCGCCAGTGCTTGTGTCACTGTGGCTGTGCATCCCCTCCATCCCCACCAGTGCTTGTGCCACTGTGGCTGTGCATCCCCTCCATCCCCACCAGTGCTTGTGCCACTGTGGCTGTGCATCCCCTCCTTCCCTCACCATCCCCACCAGTGCTTGTGTCACTGTGGCTGTGCATGCCCTCCATCCCCACCAGTGCTTGTGCCACTGTGGCTGTGCATCCCCTCCATCCCCACCAGTGCTTGTGCCACTCTGGCTGTGCATGCCCTCCATCCCCACCAGTGCTTGTGTCACTGTGGCTGTGCATCCCCTCCATCCCCACCAGTGCTTGTGTCACTGTGGCTGTGCATGCCCTCCTTCCCCAGCAGCATCCAGGGCTGTTCCCCCACTGAGAGCAGGCTGGGTGGGTAGAGCAGGGGAGCTCTGGCAGTGGGGATACACAGATATCTGTCAAAGCCAGAGCCTGTGCAGTGCACTCTATGCATGCAGACAGTTGTGCTGTGTTCATCACCGTGGCATTCGAGTGCCCGGGGTCATGCAGTGACTCAGAGCCAGGGATGAGCTCCAGAGCTCCCCTCTCCCAGCTCCAGGAGCAGCTCTGGGCTGGAGGGATCAGCTCCCTGCAGAGTCAGCAGGGCTTCTCTTGGCACATCCCATCTATCAGAGAATTTGGGAGGCTCCACTGCCCACCTGCGAGCCCTGGGGTGTGCAGCCCATGGGCTCCTGTGTGTGACTGTCCTACAAAAAATGAAATGCAAGCCTTGCCTTTACTGCACCTACTTCATCTTGATGCCAGGGAAGCCATTTCACCTTCTCCAGCCCTGCTGGCTCCCAGACTGCTCAGGACAGGCATTCAGGAGCGTGGACACAGCCAACACTAAAATATGTCCTGACTCTCAATGCAGCCCAATGGGAAACCAGGCCAGCTGGTGCCCAACATTCAGACTTTAAGTAGCACAGAAAAATAAACAAAGGACATCAATTCTGCCAATGTTAATAGCTTCAGGCAAGAGGGATACAAAAGTAGGGTATTTCAAATATGGGATAACGTCATCTGTAGATTTGTCCAGAAGAGACAGAACTCTGCATTTGTGGATCCAAGACAGGGTAAAAGTAGTAAACCTGATATTAAAGGCCCATGCTTTTATCTGTGCCTTGCCAGTGGGTACAAAGAAGAAGGCTTCCTCCCCTTAAAGAAAAAGCTTCTACCTGGGAGGGATTTATAGGCAAGATCACGAGTGAGGGAGTGTGAGAAATTCTGCCACTGTTACCAGTGAATGGCACCCTCACACATCTCTGTTTCTCACCACCACTGGAGAGTTCACCAACATTTTGTCCTGAAAGTAGTTTGATGCCTGAGAATAATGCACTCAGGAAGTTGGGAGGGAAGCAGACAAAAGACTTATAATAAAACCTGTCCTTTTTCTGCAAGTGATACTTGTCAAATATAAACACAGTCAAAGTAGAGAACAAGTTGTGCTAATCTGCAATATTTTCCCAGCAACCAGTTATTACTTTCACATTTTATTTTATAATGCATCAAACCCCAGCACCTGGCATCACGTTGCTAACAGAAATAACTCAGCACAGGTGTAGAGGAAGGGTTGTGTTTCCAAGCCTCTGTGTGCCTGCACTCCAGCCAGAGGTGATGGCAGCCCAGCCTGGGACATCTCTCCCAGAACCCAGCCTGGTTCTGAGCTCACTGAAGACAAAAGCACAAAATCCAGTGGAACAGGGGGGTGATCACTCAGGCAGCTCCTCGGAGCTGAGGTCCAAGCTGTCCCCTCTTCACTCCTACCCAAGGAAGTCAACAACAGCAAGCTCGGGTTCCTCTGCATTCAGATCTCCAACTGCAACTCAGACACAGCCAAAGAGACTCCAAACCAGTGGGCAGGAGAGCAGAGCTGCATTTATGGTCCACTGAAGCCACATCATTGTTATGAACGGCAGCCAGGGTTTCAAGGTTCCTGGTTCCTGCATTCCTGACCACGTGGACTTAGCCCTGCTGGCAGAGCCGAGGTTTGCAGTGCTGAGGGACAGGGATCAGCCTGAAAATTACCCTTTAGTCTGAGCTACAGGAACAAAGGCATTAACAGGGTGTCAGAAATTTCACAGCTTCCCTGAACAATACCTTCCCACATTTCACTGCACTGAAGGCTTTTCCTAGATATCCAAACCAAATCTTCTCTGCAGTTTAAATGTAGTTTGGTCTCATCATTTCCCCCCCCTCCACGACAGTGGAAGAATAAATCAATCATCCTTCCTTAACAACAGCTTTTATGTTCTGAGAAACCATGCCATCCCCCTCCCTCCCCCACCCATGCTGCCTTGTCTAGATTAAATGCACCTGATTTCTTCAACCTCTCCTCAGAGGTCATGTTTTCTAAAGCTCTGACAATTAGTGCTGCTCTCCTCTGGCCTTTTGCCAATTTGTCTACATCTCTATTTTAAAGCCTGGTATCCACAAACCAGCCACTGAGGCAATGACACACTCGTAGAGACAAAAGAAAAAGGAACTTGTCCTGTACAGAACCCTCCTAAAAGCACAGAAACATCTCCAAGCCCTCTGCAGCCATCCTGGGAGCTGCTCACTCTGTGGAGGAGGTTGGAGATGGCAAAGGGGCAGCTGAGCTCCTGCCATTGGGAGTGCAGCAGGAGCGAGCACAGCCCTGTCTCTTCTGGACAAGAGGAGAAATTATTCAAGACAGCTTTGTGCACGAGCCTCAGCATTCCCTGCTTGCACCCTGCCCGTGGCATCACCAGTCTCTGAGATCCCTGCAGCAGCAGGAAAGCTGCTTTTAGGTCTTCTGCTGAGTAAACAAAGCCAACCAGAGAAAATTAGAGGCTTCAGTTACTAAACCTACATATAGAGCAGGTCTGTGCCTTACCCTGCAATGGTAAACAGCCATAGGCATGAGATTCCATCCATGCAGAGCCCTGCTCCTCACTCCAAACCCTCCAGAAGCTGAAGGGCAGCCCCAAACCAGCCAGTCCTAGACAAGGTTGCCCGGCACAGTCTGGTGGAAGTGTTTCTGCACAGAAGGCTGGTGCAGGCAGGCAGGAGAAGGGCCAGCTTTGCTGATGAAGGACCATGGCACCACAGTGCCTTTCTTGCATTTTCAGTGACCCCCCCACCCAACAGGACCAGCACTTGGGGCAATCTCAGTCTCACCACAAACACAAGCAGCACACAGCCTGTCACTGTCATTCCACTGC